GCCGGAACAACACGGGCAGGTAAAGAGAAGTAAAGGAGGATGGAAAAACACTCACAGGTTTGTGCTCGTTTAGAGGTTTGTCTGTTTTTATAACGATTAACTATGAACGTAGAGATTTTCCCTGTTTTGTTAAATTACATGTTAGATTAAAATATGAAAAAAAAAAAACGTGTTAATTTACACGTAGATCCCCCAAAAGTGCAAAACTATGATTAACATTCACATTTAAAAGAAAGGCGGTTTGTTCTTTTACATCCGACTATAACGTGACACATTTTTTATTGCTCCTGAAGAATAAAACTGAATTATTTCACTGATATTTGTTGTTATTTTAAAGACAATTTATGCACATTAAGGACTGAAAAACAGTCAGAACATTTTCTATCTTACTAAAAATATTATTTTTCCACAAAGAGGTCAGAATTTAAAAGAAAAGTTCTGCATGTTTAAGACTTTTTAGTTGTTTTTCTGTTTGGTTAAATTACAGAAGAAAAAAAAAATCACAGAAACAAAGCATAAAATTACATGTTGACTGTAAAACATAAAAATATGAAGAAATAATCATCAAAAATCTGTTTATTTTCCAATGTCTATAAATCAGCAAAATAAAATTATTCTACAAAAAAATGCCTTTTTCTGAAGAAAAAAAATTTTTTTTTAAGAAACGGTAAAACGTTTAAAATACTACAGATTTCATTTTCCCTGTTTCATTAAATTAAAGACAATTTCTAGTAAACTCTCAAAAACAGATAAATTTACATGTTGACCGTAAAATATATATATCATTTTTTTAAATAGTAAATTATTCTTCTACAATGCATGATGGCAAAATATAATCATCTTACTGTATTTAAATTAACAAAAAATAATTCATTTGCACATATTTGTAGATAATTTGTAGTAAACTCACAGAAAATATAAATGCACGGATTAATTCTGTTTTTTAAAAAAGGCAAAAGCTGTAAATAATCTGAATTTTTAACAGTAATTTGCTCTTTTACAATGCATGACAGCAAAATGACTGTTGAATTGTGTTTAAATGAGGTAAAATATCATTCATTTACCCGTACTTGTGTATAATATGAAGTAAACTCACAGAAAATATGAAGTCATGTTATTTAGAAAAAGGTCAAAGCATTTTTATAAATACTTTTTTCTGATATGCATGACTGTTTAACTGCATACAAAACGTTTTATTGTCACTTCTTGAGTGTTTCCGTGACGGTTTTGTCTCAGACTTCACCAGGTTTACGTGTGCCGTCTATAACCGGCTCTATTTTTATCCCGGCCAGCGTGACTTCTCGTCGGGTTTCCGTCTGACTCGGCGTTCGGCTGCTGACAGACCCGCTGACAGGTTCGGGGCTCAGACGTCGCCGTCACGCCACCGGACTCGGTCCAAGTCTGCAGGCCGGGCCGCGGCGGTCGAGCCGTCAGCGCCTCCCGGAGCCTCCGACCCCCCGGATAAATAAAGCCAGCAGGCCCGAGGCCCGGATGCCGGCCTGTCACGCCGCCGCTGGATAACGACGTGGCGTGCGGTAGCTGGACAGCTGCCGGGACGCTAATTAGGCTCCGTAATTAATGGCTTAACGAGGCAGGCCCAATATAGAGGAGGGTCCAAAACAGCCCGAGTGACCCTGAAGAGGGCGAGAAGGCGTCAAGAACCGGCCGTCAGTCACAGGTCCAACATCAAGGCTTCAATCTGGTGATTCTCCAACACACAGGAATAAAAGAGGAGAAAGTTCTGCTGCTTTTCATGAGAAAAATATCTTTTAAATTATTATTTATATTATTATTTATAATTATTATTATTAGTATTATTATTATTATTTTATTTTTTTTTACAATTTATTGGTGATTTACAGATTTCCCCCTTTTTTGAATTACAGGTAATATCTGGTAAAATTACAGAAATAAATATCTACTGAAAATAGAATTATTTCACAGATTTCTGCCATTATTTGAAAGAAATGTTACGTAAATTAAGTTGTAACTAAAATGCTTTACAATGTTTGAGCAAAAAATTCTTATTATTTTAAAATCATATTTATACATATTTTGAAAAATATTTTACAGATTTATTATTTTAAAGAAAAAAATATGCATAATAAGAACCAAAAATAGCAAATTATTTTTTAACTTCTATTTCAGATTTACAGAAAAAGTATTCATTTACATGTTAATCATAAAAAATCCCAAACTATAAAAACATCTATAATAAAATGTGTAGTTTTAGACATTTGAGTGTGAAATTAGATGATTTAACTGTATTCAAGTCGTTATTTCAAAGAACATGCATCACTATTAATGACTGAAATACGATAAATGATAATTATCTCCTGTTATTTTCTGTTACGTTTCTTTTTTCGACTGTGAAATCTGAACGACGCTTTTGGACACGAACGTTTTTTTTCCACATGAAAAGTGGCACAAACACAAACTCTGTAATTTGTGACTAAAGCTCAATAAATCTAATAAAGGGCCTGAAAGGACTCGGAGCTGACGATTAGATTTCACAACAGGGTTTTTCCTGCTCGCAGGAATGTTTGGCGTCGCCCCAGAGATGTTTCAGGCAGCGCCAAAGGAAAACCATCTGCGCCAAGAAGATAAGAGTCGAGATGGAGCGAGTGGCAGCGGGTTTCTGGTAAATCAGGGACTCGTTTATCCACAGTTAGTTTAGCTCTAAAGCTTCAGGTCTGGCAGCTGTTTGGACGTTTCTAGCGTTCATGAGCTGAAAACGTCGACGCTAACGATGACTGATTGTCTCCACAGCAGCATCCGGTGCAGAAAACGGCAGCACGGGGGCAAAACAGACGGATCTGGAGGCGTTTCTGTCAAACCCTGATTAGAATCTAGAGCTCCACGTTGGTGGCACAAAAACACAACAAAGGAGGCGCCGCCTGCAGGTAGGAAGGTGGAGCATCCTAAATAACGAGGCTCGACCGCTGATTACATCCCCTGATTAGCCTTCCTCCCTCCGAGCGCTGCTGTGAAAACAAAGCCAAGAACAGACCTGAGATCAGGGGAGCGTGTGCGAACAGGGAGCTGTGTGCAGGCAGGTCGCAGCTTTAATGGCCTCTCAGGTATGCTAACGGTTCACACGGTCAACGCCGGCTACGTCCCAGCCGGCGTTCCCATGCACGTCATCACTGTGATTGATGCGTTTCAGCTGAGTAAGAATCTCATTTAGCGCTTCGTCACAGGCCTCCAGGCTCACGTTTCACACCGGCTGCTCACGAAATCCTGTTTCTTCGGCGTGATCGAGGACTTGAAGTTGGCTCCTTTATTAGCACGTACCGCTAACAGGTATAGAAGACCTTGTTGTGGTGCCGTTGCTAGCTAAACCCCCATAATGCCCATCGGCACAGTGGAAAATCTGAATCAGAAACACATGAACCGGTTCCTATCAGGGCTCCAGACTCACGTTTTATACCGGTGGCACACAAAATCTAGTTTCTTCGGCTTGATCTAGGACTCAAAGTTGGTAAAAGGCAGCTCTTTTATTATTACGTACCGCTAACAGGTATAGAAGACCTTGTCGTGGTGCTCATTGCTAGCTAAACCTCCACAATGCCCATCGTCTCAGTAGAGAATCTGAATCAGAAACCCATGAACCAGTTCACATCAGGGCTCCAGACTCATGTTTTAGACCGGTCGCACACAAAATCGTGTTTCTTTTACATGATCTAGGACTTAAAGTCGGTTCTTTCATTAGCACGTACCGCTAACAGGTATAGAAGACTTTGTCGTGGTGCCCGTTGCTAGCTAAACCCCCACAACGCCCATCGTCAGAGTAGAAAATCTGAATCAGAAACACTTTTACCAGCTAAAGATTCACGTTTTACATCTGTTGCATTGAAAATCTACTGAATACCACATGTCACGTGTCACCGGTTTTGTGGGATCCCTGCTACATGTTGGTATTTTCTTAACGCATCATGTTTTTATTATTTTGCATCAACACGATCGAGGATTTAAAGTCGTAGAAAAGAACATGTTTTAGCAGGCGCCATTAACCAGCACAGACGTTCTTGCCGTTGCTAGCTAAACCCCCACAATGCTAACTGCTAGCTAACATGAACTTCTTGTAGTTTAATCGTAGCAACTGCTTGAGTTCCTTGAAGACGTTCCACCTCTCATCCAAGAGGCTTCATCAAGTCTTACTGACTAGTTCTAGACACTTCTGTCCTTAAGTGTCATTACCACTTGAGTTTTGGTTTTTAATCGGAGGTTTGTTGCTCCTCCCCCTCGTTAGCAAGTCCAGTTTTCTACGATGAAACTACCAGAATAGCCAAGACCTGGATGACTGAGAATCTTCACAGACATGAACTTCCTGTAGTCTGGGTGGAACATCTGGATCAGAAACACATGAACCAGTTCACATGAACCAGTTCACATCAGGGCTGAAGACATTCTACGAGAATCTTTAAGTTGTCCGACACTTTCATCCGGTATCAAATATCTCAAACCCTAAAAATATTTGCTTCCTCAGAAATGTTCAACTTCAAAACTGTCCAAAAAGTTTGAAATGGTCCATATTTACTCAAACATTGTAATTCTGAACATATTTTGGGTCATTTTCAACAAAATCCAAGTCGTTTTTTAACAGTTTTCCAGCCATTCTGAACCATTTTGAATGAATTTGAGTAAATTTGGGGGCAAATTTCAAGTTATTTTGGACAACTGTAGACTGAGAGGAAAATAAAAACCTACTGGACCAATAAATAAATGCAGCATGGATCAGAACCAGTGAACAGATGAGCCAGTTGTTGGAGATACATCCAGCATGGTGGAACATCTTTCTACATCTGATGGTGGAACATCTGTCCAGAGTTATGAATGTAATGGTTAAACATCTGTAATATGAGGTAACAGCTGTGGACACCTGCTACGTGTTGATTCTGGTGGGTTTATTTTTGTATTTTTTATGCTTTCTGACTTTCTAACTTCACACTGGACGTCTCTGATCCTCTCTCCTTCTCTTCATGTTATCTTGTCATCACAGAGCTGCAGGACTTGATGCTGCAGTGATAAATGCGTCAGGACTTGCAGGCGGGTCAAGGCCACACTCACCGTTGCTGCTGTGGGTGCCGTTGTCCCGGTCCCAGGCCTCCACGATGACGGTGTACGCTCTCTGAAACACAAGAGACGGCGGGTCAGAGGTCATGGCACAGAAACACAGTGAGGCGCTGCAGGACGTGCACAGACAGCCGCCGGATAGCGTCACTCATAAACCGGCTGGTACACGGCGCTCAGCGACTGTGGGAAAAGCCGTCCCGTTCCCACACTGCTGTCACTGATTAGCCTGCAGGAGCCCCAGGCTGGTTAACGAGTGCAGCAACACGCTCACCTGGAAACCAGCGGCGAGCTTTAGTGTCACAATCTGCTTTCTGAGCCAGAAAGAAGGAAAAAAGAAGTGACTGAGCCCAGTTTCATCATCATCATCATCAGCAGCAGCAGCAGCTCCTGGTTCGACGAGGACTCGTGAGGCAACATATCGATCTCCGGTGGGGAAATCCACGTCTCCCACCGGGACCTGGCCGCCTGCCTTCCAGGTCGAGTGTTGGAGGATGATGGAATCGGTGTCGCTCGGGGTTTTCTTGCAACACGCCGCAGATGGAGGCCGAACAATTCATAGAAATACCATCGAAACACTGACAAGATGATGACAACCAACGTTAAATGAAGCGTGCAGATGTGAGGAAACACATCAGATCTATGCCTGTTCCAGAGCAGAAGAACACAGAAACAAGCTGCTGATTCAGCAAACGTGCTGCTGCTGCTGCTTAAACCACTTCATGCAAACACAGAAACTTCTTTGAATTTTTTCTGATGCAACACTTCAAAATGCACATTAAAGCAGGTTATAGACGCATCTCCAGCCCTGCAGGACGCTCTGCAAACACCGCTCAGCTACTCATATGTACAATATTTAGTCTTTCAGGTGCAATAGTTCATTCCTTTAGAAAGAATATTTAAATTTGCATGTTCATTATTTCATTTTCGTGCAAAATATGTCAAAGTTTTGTGCAGAATTTCATTTTTTTAATGTGCAAACGTTCATTTTTCAGGTGCAATATTCAAATTTCATGCGTAAAATGACATTTTAATGTAGAAACTGTCGAAGGTATGTGCGGTATTTCATTTTTCAGGTGCAGTAGTTCATTTTTTTGGAAGAATATTTAAATTTGCATGTCTAATATATAATTTTAGTGCAAAACATGTCAAAGTTTTGTGCATTATTTAATTTTTTATGTACAAAAGCTCTTTTTTTTAGGTGCATTTCATGCGTAAAATTACATTTTTAATGTACAAGTCAACGTTTTGTGCAGTATTTGATTATTTCATGTGCAGTAGATCATTTCTTAGGTGCAATAATTAAATTTGCATGTTTAATATTTCATTTTAATGCAAAACATGCTCGAGAAACACGACCAAGAGCCTCCAAACTGCTCAGAAGCTGATAGTTTCCAGAACAAGCCCGATCCAAGGAGGTCCAACCTCACAGCCCACATGACTCCAAGCATCTGCTGCCAACAGACACAATATTCCAGACTCTAGATAGGCGTATACGCTGGACATCCAGAAAATCGGTTCCCTTGAGCTATTTCTACAAAATTATGTACCTACACAATAAACTACATTTTCTAATGTGTCGAGGGGAACTTTATTTTGAAATCAACATAATTTTTGAGCTGTAATGTTGAAGAAAAGGCGGCCAAAGAGTCAGAGTGAGGAGGAAGTAGAATTAATCAGAATTAAGTTTGTTTACTTTCAGTTTTTACTTGTTTTCTGGTTCAGTTTAGGAAAATATTTGTTGGACACGTTGTAGAGACTTTAGTTAAGTTTAGGCACCAAAATCACCTGGTTCAGGTTAAACTACGACTCTTTTACTGCTTCTTTCTTCCATTTTACAGGTTAACACGGTGACTAATCCCATCCTAAAGTAATATATATATATATATATATATATATAAAGCAAAGCAGTAAAGCAATAAAAAAAGCTACAAAGATAAGTTGATGTGAAACCCATTTCTGATGTTTGTAATGTAATCCATCAGAAAATAATTCAGTTTATCAGCATGGGGATGTCATTTTAAACATCCTGAACCCTTTTTCCATCATTAAGCTAAATATTCTGAGCAGTGCAACAGATACAAAGTTCAATAACAGACTCTGAGTAAAACTAATTGAGTCTGAAAGGTAGAAAACGTCCAGATTTATTTCTGGGATTGAGCTAAAAGTGTTCAGTCGAGGCTGAAGTTGCTCAAAACTGAACTTTCTGCAGCTTTAACAGTCGTCATGTCCGACACAAAGCAGCAAACCCAACACTGGATGGACCTCAGTGACCAACATTCGTGGATTTTCTGGGTTCACCACAGGTTCTGGGCTCCAGAGATCCGCCGCCGTGAGCCTTCGCTCAGTGCTCGGTGTGCTTGTTGTGCGGCTCAGCGGGCAGCACACTCTGCCCTACTTCCCCGAGCAGCCGGACTCCAGCGTCCCAACACCAACAAACCGCCGCTCTGGATTGTTTCAGGTGCAAATCTTTTTTTTTTTCTTTTCTTCCTTGTTCTCGGGCATCAGCAAACAAACGGAGCCGGAGCTCGCCGTCTGTCGACCGCATGGGGCCGGACCGGCAGCTGTGAGTTCCCATGACCCGAGTCTGACTCATGGAGACCGAAGGCTGCGGGGCAGATTACAGGGGAGGCAGATTAGAGGCGCACCGAGCAGCACCGAGGCGCAGCAGAGCGGCGGCGCTTTACGGCGCTGCACAGGGAGGTTCAGGCAGTTCAGACCAGACGCCGAGTCACAAGTCGCACGTGGGAACGTTGTGGGAGCTCGTAGCTGCAGGTCCAGGAGGCTGGACGTCATGAACAGTCTGCAGCAAACGGCCTCAAAGCGGAGCGCTGACCTGCTGACAGGGCGCCGAGGAACGGCTGCTTCATGGAGGCAACGAGTTTACTGAAGAGTCTGAAGAATATTTACAGTTTACAGCACGTCAGTGTGATGGGAAATGGTTTAGTTTATAGGCAAAATATTGAAGTCTGCATGTGCATTATGTCATTCTTCAGGCGCTATATTACAGTTTTCTGGGCAATAGTTTGCTTTGTCGTGTGCAATATTTCATATTTAGGCAGAATATTCAAATTTGCATGTGCATTATTTAATTTTTGTGCAAAACATGACAAAGTTTTGTGCAGTACTTCATTTTTCTATGTGCAAATGATCATTTTTCAGGTGCAATTTTTAAATTTCATGCATAAAATTACATTTTAATGTACAAAAGTACAAAGTTATGTGTGGTATTTAATTGTTTTATGTGCAATACTTAATGTTTCAGGTTAAGCAGTTCAAGTGCTATAATTCTGTTTTTAGGTGCAATATTCAAATTTGCATGTGCATTATTTCATTTTAGTGCAAAACATGTCAAAGTTATGCACAAAAGTTCATTTTTTGTGTAAAAACGTTCATTTTTCAGGAGCAACTTTTTATGTACAAAAGGTCAAAGTTCTGTGCAGTGTTTCATTTTTCAGGTGCTACATTTTACTTTAATGTTTAATATTTAAATTTTTCTATGTGCAAACGATCATTTTTCAGGTGCAATATTTAAACTTCATGCGAAAAATTACATTCTAATGTACAAAATGTCAAAGTCGTACAATATTTTATTTTTTAGGTGAAATGTTTAAATTTGCATTTGTAATATTTCATTTCACTGCAAAACACGTCAAAGTTATGTACAAAAGTTACAGGTTCTGGTTCTGCTACAGTTACAGGTTCTGGTTCTGGTTCTGGTTCTGCTCCAGCGCTGCTACCGACCAGGAGACCAACTTAAATCAATGAATACAAAGACATGAATCAGATCTGAGAGAACGTCGAGGAAACCGACGGCTTTGGGTTTGAAGCAGCAGAGACGTGAAGCATGGAGACGCTGAGGTCACTTTAACCTCTGATTCATGAAATAGGCAGAAACGACGTGAGAGTGAGCGTCTGTGATCTGGCTGCTCTTATCTCACCTCCGTCCGGCTAATGCCTGCTGCTGAATGTGGAGCTCTAATCTCTGGCTCGCGTATCAGACGAAGCGTGAAACCTAATGTGGGAAAATATTTGCAGTAAATGTTTGCTGCTGGTTTTCTTTTCTGTCGACGTCACGGCAGCAGCTTCAGCCTCAGACTCCTTCAGAGGAAGTAAAAATAAAGGACGAGGAGGTTTAACAGCCACCACAGGATCCCAGAACATTCAGCACCAATCAAAGGTCACGTTTTCAACTTTCAACCAGCAAACGCTGGTGTTTGTCGGACTCAAAGTGATGATTTTATTCCTCCATCGGTTGCTAGTTAGCTTCCTGTCTGTTTTTATAACGAGCACGAAGCTGAAAAGACAGAAATGAATCAACGTTTCTTATAGTTTCAGGCCAGTTCGTCCACGTTTCTGTAGCTGGACCAGACTTTAGTCCATCGCTGCTCATTTTTACGCAACTACAGTCGTGACTCAATGATCCGACACTAAATGTAAAAGCTTCTTTCATGTCGGATTGTCAAGACGGAGGTGGAGATACAAGGAGGGCTGGATGCCTGAAGGCTCATTAGTTGATATTCATTGTTCATAGTTGTTATAATAACTAGTAGTTCTGGTCCCAGTAGCACTTTCTGGGCTCAATTAATGATGAATATCCAAACATTTGGCGCGGTCGGGGCACATGTCCACCCCGGGGCAGCGCTCTGACGGGGTGGAAGTGTCCAGAACATACAGGCAGTACTTGGCTGCTGATGCTAGTTTAGTCAGTGGTCACACTTCTGTTTCCTCCATCGGTGGCGGTGGGGGAGTGGCAGATACACTCCACCGTTATCATCCATGTTTACTTCCATAAACACTGAGCACGCTCGTTGCGTGTGATGTCATCGTGTCCTCTTCTGCACATGCGGGACACTTTTGGGTCGTATGAAGTTCTCACAGCAGATCACATACAAGTCGTGTTTAACTGGAAACGTGAACGAACTCACAAAGAAATCCTCATTGAGCATCAAGTCCTGCAGTGTGAACGTAGCCAATCTGTGGGATTGTTCAGTCAGATAATACACCGTCATCCTGATTGGTGACATTAAATGTCATGTCAGAGTCAGAATCCAAGGC